CTTAATTCTAGAAATCCTGATGCGCGCAGAAGATGCGACCGGGAGCTCCTGGGAAGGGCTTGGCAGCCGGTGTTTGGGAGAGTGCTGAGGAGCGCTTCGAGCGTGTTCATTTGTCGGGTCAAGGAGAAGCGAGGGAGCTACCCCCGTGGCGGGAAAGCCCCTGCAGCAGGGCAGAGACTGCCTGATGAAAACGAGATTTGGTTTCAGTGGCAATGGGAGCTAGAGCAGCAGAGGGAAGTTTCCTACTGGTAAGCCTAGTTAAGGGGACTTTGTGCGGGGATTTGGTCGTAACTGCGCCCAATAGGCCTGTCCTGCCTTTCCCGAAGACAGGAGAGGGCAGAGCTCACCCCTCAACCAGGCATGAAGTGAGGAAAGATGGGGAGGAGCGGAGATAGACAATGTCTCTGATGGCCCGAAGGACAGAGCTCAAAGTACACCACTTCCATTCATTCCTTCCTACGGTGAGTGCTCCTCCCAAAGAGTTTCCTCTGAAGGAGCCTCAAGTCTCTAATGAGGACAAGGACTCCAGGATCACTCTCTTCAGCTGTGCACCCTTCCTAGATGTCTCTGTGGTAGCACTGTGCTGGCTGGAAAGTCCAGGTAGAGCTCCACAGCCATTTAGCTCACATCAGATATATAAACTTAAGAGTTTCTTAGCTCTTAAGCCAGGGTGATTTTCTGCGTTGTGTAAGAACAGCCGTTTCCTTCTCTGCAGTGTCAATCTTCCTATCTCCAAAAGGGCACACACTGTCCAAAAAAGGGTAAAGGATTTCTCAGTGTCCAAAAGTTCATGCCACAGGAAAGGGACACCTCAAAAACGAAAAAAAAAGTACCTGTGCTTTAATGAAGAGACTCAACCCTTGGGAAAGAAGTTTATGGGTGGAGGACCAGCCAGAAAATTCTGTTACTATTGTCCTCAAGAGATCATGAGGCACAGTCAAAGAAGGGCGAGGAAGGGCAAGCTCCTGAAAGACTGGGAGCTTCAGGGGTGAACTACCACTGTTGGTAGGAGATATGGTCCTCTTGGGGAACAGGCTTGGAGAAAGCACACTGGCAGCCTCTGGTGAGGATACAAGAGACTGCCACGTGACAGAGGTGAGCCAAGGCTGATTTTACATGGGCTGAGAAGCTGGTGAGACTGTTTTACAAGTTCTGATATTGCCAGAAAGTCATGACAAAGCAGACAGGCTTTTCTGGAAATAAGGCTGAGGCAGGTTCCAGTAAATTCAATGGCGTGAGGTGGGATGAACAGCAGCTCTGAGAAGCACAAGGCAGTGAAGATTTCTGTCAATGCTGAAGCATCACTTCTTTTTCTTCAATGTTGGCTATCAAAATTACCAAGTCTTCCTAAAAACCAGCAGAGTGATGGAAAGACGAAGCTGCAATGTGGGAAGACCAAGCCCAGGTCAGGTCTCGCCCTCTGTTCACCCTCTGCAGAGCCCTCCCAAAGCAAACACCTCTCAGCTCCAAGACAGGACAGGTTGTCTCGTGCTTCAGAATTCCTCTGGAGAGAGGTATTCCTTCAAAGACATATAGCACAAGGCTTGGAAAATGGCTTAACTACCAACAGGATAATGCAGTCATCTTGAGTAATAGAAATTCCTTCTCATCTGCTACACTGGGCAGCTCCAGAGTGCAGCTACCAGGGGTGACAAGGTACCACACAAAGTCTGCTCCTAAAAGGAAAAACCATGCAGATAGAACAGGTAAGATGAAGAGGGGGAAACCACCTGTAAAACCCTCTAGAGTGTTCCCAGGGGCATGGAGGGGAGCTGCCAGGGACTGCAGATACTCACATTACCCGTATGAGAAGCTTCCAATGCCATCGATAGCTCGCTTGCAGCACTGAGCTCTGGCTTCTTGTGTAATGCATCAAAAATTCTTTGTAAAGCGTCATCCACCCAGTGCAGCTCCACTGCTTCTCAGTGTTGTTGAAATTTCCCTTGTATTTTAAAGAGAATAAGGAGGGATGTGCTCTTCTAAATTGCCTTCATTTGTCCTACTTCTCTGAACAGTTTTATGTTTTCTCCGAAAATTAAGCAATCCTATGTCTTTGCTCTATGCATGGGAAATATTATTCAGGCTCTGGCTGTCTGCATTGCAATAGAAGTGTTCAGTACAGTTTTTCCTTCAAATAAGTTCTTCTGTAAACTTAATGCTATTACAAGAATTGTGCTAGGAAAAAAAATTGACCATTCTTGGTTTAAAAAACTCCATTTTTGTTATCTTAATGAAAAAAAAATCCAGTGCCCAATATAGTTAGCCAGGTCTTTGTTCGGGAGAGTTTCTCATTTCAAACCAGGTAAGATAGTGGTTGTTCAAATTATGCTCCCAATGAATTTTACATTGATAATACATAATTTCACCTGAGGGCTTGTTACCTGCCAGCTTCTGACAGAATATCGCTGCTGTTCATATTTCCATCTCAGTATCGCGTAAGGGACGGCAATGGTTCACAGAGGAAGGATTTGAGGATCTCCTGCATAGACAGGAGAGTGGGAAGAAAGGTTAGTGGTCTTTTCTCCCAATAGCCTGGAATTTTTTCACCATAACTTAATCTGTAACTTGCAAACCTGTGAATTGTTACATTTCCATTTTTCTCTCTTTAAATGTATTTCTTCAGTACTGCCAGCCCAAGGCCTCCGGGCGTGGAGGGCAAAGCAGCAGCCCTGGTGAGCATGGGGTTAGGTAGCTCCACATGCCGCCCTCAGCCCAGCACGTAGCCCTGGAGGTACCAGAACCTCATCCCAACCTCTTCCCTCTGGAATTCCACCCCAGGCGAGTCTTCTCCCTTCTCCCAGGGCACACCCAACCTCTTGGCAGAGGCAACCGGAGGATCAATACCTCCTGTTTTGCCAAAAAGCCAGGAAATTAGAAATACTTTGTAATTTCTGATATTTTTTACATACCACTCCAAAATGAGTCCTCCAGACTCACATACTCCTGCACAACACCCAATAAATCTTTTTGCTTGTTAGCTTCCACATTAGCCCCTTCCACTGGTTTTCAAGTTCAGTGGGAAGGGTATAAATTTCTCATCTCTCTTTATCAGGGTCAGCATTTGTCTAAAAATAGATCAGATTTTTCACTTGCCGACACAAGTGTATACATTTTCAAAATAAAAAAAATTAAAAAAATAAAATCTGACACTGAAATTTTAGAGTCCTTAATATCATTTGACTTTCATGAATAGCATATGCAGAACAAATTAGAACTATTAAAATAATTTCTACTCTAAATAGTTTGAAGAGCATTTCACATAAAGATACAGTACTATACGTTGCTACAGGCAGTTACTAAACTCATTCAACATTTTACAATGCTAACCAAGTCAGTTTACATTGCTGATTATATTTGTCAATCTTAACATGATTTGCATTGTATTACACTTTTTATAAAACATTTACTGTTTATGACTATTTTGTCAAATGTGAAACCTGTCAGTGCGTATCTCACCAGAACCAAATAATCTTAAATGGAGAGAGAAGAGCACTCCGTTTCTAGACTTATTTTAACTCTTTGCTCCACTACTTTGCCTTTTGTTTTAGCCACAAATTTCTGCAAAAGTCCATCTTAACTGAGAATTCAAGCCAAAATGCAAGAGTCAAATTCTTCTCTCCCTCTCATTGAATAAGTTCACTTTTCACCTAGTACTATTGCTATTACAAAAAACCTCACAAGTTTAGTATGTTCACTATTAAAGTACTGTATATTCACTACATATAAATTGGTTATAGAAATTTAGCATACTTGCGTTCCTTTTGTGAGAGATTGAGTGCTTGTTGGCTTCAAATGCTCGTGACCTCCTGGGCAAGACCAATAATCTAAGAGAAACTTGTTCTTGTCTACTTGTTTGGAATGAAAATAAACCAGACTTTCCAGACCTCAAAAGAAACTTTTGGTAAAATTGATTCCCGCCCCCCCCTCCCCCCCCAAGGTGAGTATTTGCCACATCTGATGTTGCATATATGATATGCAATTCGAAAGTCGATAAACTAGAAGGCACATAAGGGGTGCAGCACCAATCCCCATGTTACAGCTGCTCCTTATGCCAAAGGCTGCAGTTAATAAAACCCCACTGAAGTTTGCAGTTCAGACTTTTTCAAGCTAATAACTTCATTAAAATACTTTTTCTTGAATAAAGCATTCTGCATTTACTATTCAAGCATAAATTGAAGCCTTCTGGGTCTGGGAGGAAGGAAAGTTGAAGCTTTAGAGGGAGGGCAGACAAGGACGAAGGCTCTTTTTGTAGCAGAAGGGGGTGGTGGTGTGGAGATTTAAGGTCCTCCCGTACTCATTTCAGAAGCAGTGAACTTTATACGGAGAAAGTTTGCAAGAAGCTACATGCCACCACAGACGAGGTTCCAAGTCAACTGATGAAAGAGTCCATAGTGCTTAAAGTATCTGGAAATTACCTGGACTCTTTTCACTTTGTGGTTTTAACTCTTCTCAGGACCAAGCTGCATTGATTATGGAAGACCATAAATACAATTTCGACACCAGGCCTGGATTTCAAAGGCTGCTTCCTCGGGTAAGACCTCATCGGTTTATAGTTTTAGACTTACAGGGTGAGTTAGAGTTAAAAACAGTACAAATAAAGCATGATTTCTGCTGTTATCTCTGCAATTTCACATATAAAGAATAGCCTGCTGTGCAAATTAAACCCCACAAGGATCATACACTTCTTATTTTGTAGCTCAACAATGTAACCTCGGTATTGCAGCAATGCAAGTACTGGCACTCAAAACTTCTGCAAGCAGCAGAGCAATTCTGAATTAGCCCCGACGTGCCTAAAGCTGCCTACGCTCACAGCAGAGGCAGACGATGAGAACGGCCCCCAGGCAAGTTTCCATGTGGTGGCTTTCATAGCCCCAGTCAGGCCTTCGTTTATAAGGGTTCCCAAAAGCTCTCCTCTCTCCCCATCTGTAACCAAGCTAGCAGTTCTGCAGACACAAGTGTAGTCAATGCTTAAGTTTTTAAATTCAGGAATTAGGACAAGCATGGCTTCTTCCAAACAAACATGGTTTTAATTCACTGCTGAGTAATACTGCAAGTAGTAACAGAAACAGAAAATGCAGAATGAGACAGAACAAGCATTCTTAATAGAGTGGCATCTAGCCTTTGTGGGAGGAAGTAATCAGACCTCTGGTAGCAATTACCATTTTTTACTGCACTAAGACAACCCCGCTGTTGCTAAGATGGTGCTCTCAAGTTACCTTACATACGTACTATATTAAAGAACAACAGGTTTGCCCAGTTTACAGGGCCAGACAGTTCTCCAAAGTTTAATGTATCATTGGATATATATATATATAAAAAAAATAAAAAGCATTCACATTGCTCAACCAAGCCAGTAAATAACTCTCAAGCCTCATGACAGGCGATACTGGAATAATCTCCCAAGGGAGGTGGTCGAGACTACCACATTGGACACTTTCAAGACTCAGCTAGGCAGGGTGCTGGGCCATCTTGTCTAGACTGTGCTCTTACCTAAAAAGGTTGGACCCGATGATCCTCGAGGTCCCTTCCAACCTAGGATTCTATGCTATGCGGATAAAAAGTTTATTTCCTTTCCTGTTTGCAACTGATGCCTTGGAATGTCTGAAAAGATCTGTTCTCTGGAGTGGCAATGAGCACTGCTGAAGAGCAATAGGCCCCTGCTGTGCCCAAAGCCAGCATCAAGGAAAGATGCCGGGCCAGAGACCTTTCCCCACCAAAAATTCAGCTCCTCTGTCAATGATGGGATGGAAGCTAGAGTAGAAAGAACAAGAGGATTACAAGGACAAATCAGAAGCAAAGCTGGCTTGAAAAAGGGAGGATACCCTCAATAAACAGCCAATGCATTTCAACAAAGGGAAAACAAAGTGTTTCAGTTTTGATGCTGATGCTGCTGGCAGTGCCGCTAGATCACATCCAGCGTGAAGATTCTGGCTCCACAATTACTGAAATGTTGAGCCAGTTAAGACTTAGTCTGAAGGAATCAGCAAGAGACATTACAACCACCACCATTTTTAAATCAACGCATTAAGATGATCAGTATTTAAGTCACAGATGTATAGCTATGTAAGTAACAATTTAAAATAATCACATTGTTATTTAAACAGCAATAACACCCTTGTGTAGCTTACGATTATGTTGGCCTAAGACTCCTGTTTTAGAAGTTAATCTTTCAGCCAGGGAAACCTCTTACATATAAGATCTTCAGGGGTTTTAAAATAGCCAATCTATTTGGTACTGCTTGGGTACTTTCAAAACTCACAAAGTAGCAGTAGTTCCTAAGAGGGCAATCTTGAAGTTAAATTCATTCTTGGTTATAGCAAATATTTGTTTTGAACACACAGAATAGTTACTAGGGTTATATTTTCAGAAATCTGGGATAGCTAAACATTTTGAGATCTTTGAAAGTGTTAGTATAGGTTTCAAACAAAGTTCAGAAAGAATTTTTGAAGACCCAGTTATCAAAAAATCATTAAAAGGAAACAGTGCTGTTATCTGAATTGGTCACTTATGCATAAGAGATCATTCATGAAGCGCCCAGCATTACAGAGAAATGAACTAAGCACTCTAAAGACACTTTAAAAACTTGTGTGTTACAATGAACAGTCCGTTAAAAAAAAAAATTAACTAGCATTAGGATTTTTCTTTAACATTGGTTTTACACTGTATTGTTCTAAAGATTTTCCTGATTTACACCAGTTTGTCATTAGTTTCCTGATTAACCAGCTAGGAAGTCAAGTATTCACATTATAAATTTTTGAACATTAATTCCAGTATTAGTACAATTTCTTTGCCTAAATTTTGTGTATTCCATAATTATCTGCACAGACCATTTCATATAGACAAAGTAGTTTAAATTTGTATTTCTGGAAGACTTTGTCTCAAAGATTAATTCTTCACTGCAATGTTGAAGTCTGCTTTCAGCTTCTTCACAGCATAGCATTGTTCAGTAAGTTTAGATATTTAAGAGCATTTGAGATATTCAGAAAGTGATTCAGAACCACCTGGTTAGTGGATAAACACAAGCCCATTGGGCCTTTCCACTTGTTCCAGTTTCTAATGCCATGAGTTAAATTTAACATACTATGCCCCTTCACAGCATTACTACAACAGTATCTAAAATAGTTTTTTTTTTCTCCAAGATTCTGTTTTTGTGTATTGATAGTTTACATTGTCTGGAACTTACTTGAAAACATTTCCTTGAAAAACTGAAGGCAGCTTGAGTGATCAAAATTGTTTCTTTCTGAGCATGATTACTGCTGATTGGCAAGGGGGACACCCAAACACATTTCCAAATAGATACTGCAAGAGAAAAACGCTGATAAACTTAACCAACATTGGAATTGTACTTAAAAGCCTATACATTCTATATTAATTCCAGTTTTGATGTTGGGAGTATGCTCTGTTGTAAGAACAGTTTTGAGATAACAGATATTTAACTTTTTTAATGCACATTTTTAAACACTCAAACTTCAAAGTATATTTTTACTTAGACCTTTCAAAAATGGCATAAGCAAAACCTTTTTCTGAATGCAGCCACCTGTGAGAAGTAGCATCCGTAAGAAGTTCAGCAATTTGGTCCAGAGAATTAAAGATAAATTAGTACCTTGACTGCAAGATGAAAGTCCTCAGAAAAGGCATCTTCAAAAGAACTGGAGCAATTATCTGCCAACCCTAACTGAAACAGTTGAAGCTGTATCTGCTTCAGTAAAAGTGTTAGAAAGTAAACACTTCCCAAACCTCATTAGCACCACCACCTAGTTTTTAATTCAACATTGTGCTAGTAAGAAACCACGCAGGCTCTCCCCATCCCCTCTCCGATTTCATGACCACATCCATTTTGTCTTTAAAAGTATAAACTGTATCAGGACAGTTCCACAGCTGCGATCAATACAGATGCAATGCTTGTTTGCCTTTCACCAGACGAGAAGGTAAGAAATGCTGATGTGGACTCTGTGTGCTTTGCACACTGCAGCACTAGGTACCGAAATGCAGCCTGGCTCAAACAAAGAGAAGCACTACTAAGAGTAACTAGACTGGCTTAATTACTTCAGCTCACCTCACCGGGAATAGCTGTTAACATCGCGCCACAATACCACATAGCACAACCTGAGTATAACCAGAATCAAGAAAAAAAGTCAAGCTGGTTTCGTGTAGTTGATTTTATTATTACATACTAATAATACATATCAACACAGCTGTTATCAGAGTAAACCCTTATGGGACAAGTAAGTGCCATAATGCAAATTATGGAACAGAAGATCAGTGTAAAGTGTGGAGCAGCACAGCATCTGATGAAAACAAAAATTCAAAAAAGTCAGTGCTGTGAGAACTCATGGTATTAGATTTCACTTAAAAAAAAAAGAAAAAATCTTAGGAGAGGCCTAAAGCTCACAAATTTCCCAAAACACAGAAAAAGCCGCATGTGTCCCCCCAGTGAATCCATCAGGACTTAATTCCATGAAGACTTCTTGCAAATTCAGTATTTCAATCTTCTACATATTTCAGGTTGTTCTTTACTGGAAGAGAGCACAGTAAGCTGATCTATTCTACACACATACATTGCTTCACTCTTTTGGGGCAAGTTAGGATCACAATTTCCTCTAGCTTTAAACAGCTATTTCGATCAATATATATATACATACATATATGTGTAAACAAAACACCTAAGTAAGGGCTTAAAGCAATTTCATAGAAGTATCCCATTTCAGCTATTTGTGCTCTTTACTTCAAAATCCAAAGTGCCAAATACAAGCAGCAGAAGTTTCCACTATTGCAGTCTAAAATAAAAGTGATCCCATTTACTTGTGTGAATTTATAGAAATAATTTAAAGCCACAATTCCAATTAATTCAAAAGGGCTGAGAACAGAAATAAGACATTTACAGTAACTGCACAGCTTGCATGGCCAAAAGTCTCAAAGTTAGGTTTTTAAACTTATTAACAAGTAAAGGAATGTACAGATATTGACAATTTAACATACAACTCAAAAATAGACAACTACTGCACTGATCCAAATTTGTTAATGAGTAATCATATTTGAAAATATACAAAATCTGAAGTTATTACATGAAATTAAAACGTGGTTTTAAAAAGTGCACAGTAAAAACTGAACATAATTACTATATAAATTATCCACAGACTGTATTTCCTGTTTTAGAGCCAACATTAAGTTCCGTTTTATTTGTTACAAGTTCTAAATACTTTAAAGCCATTTACAGCACCAAATCAGTTTTTACTAGCCCAAATACCACCTCTGCTTCCTGTAACAAACAGGAATTGGACAAGGAACATTTACTAACTGCATCCTGTGCAGCAGCAGCTTCCGAAGACAGTTGATTAGGTGTAAGCTATCGATTTTTGTTCTTTTTAGAATTTCCCTGCAACAATAAACAAGTGAACAGAACACATAATTCAGGTAAGAAAATCTATATAGACAGCATGTAAAACCTGACATCTGATAATTTATGCCTACAGCAAACAAAGAAGAACAGTCAAACTGAAAATAAACAGTTCATAGGCTTTTAATAATGGAAGCCTGTAACTGCTTGCTCTGAAAATCCCTCTGTTTTTACAGGCATAACAGAGGAAAGTACCAGATATTGCAAATAAGCACAACAGTACCTTACTACAATTGAAACCTGTGGAAAAAAAAGACATTTGAGTTCTGTCCCAAGATACTCAATTGTATTAACACCACTAGTATTGTAAGGGCAGTGAAGGCAAGTCAAGTCATAATTCACCCTTAAGTGGTATTTCCAATATAAACCTTATAGGGCAATTGCCTCCAATTAAAAACAATCCCCCACCCTATCATTTGGTTCCAAAACAAATTTCACTTTAACTTGGTCTATACAGAATATTCCTAGTTTAGAAGAGAAGTTGTTCAGCTAACCAACTCGCATTTGACTTTCAACAATTCCACAAAGCAAAAGTGTGGATTAAAATAAACTTTTATGCAATAGTTACTTCATGGCAATTCTCTGTCTTCCAATTTCCTTTAGATAATACTTGTTTTTGATCTAACCAACAAGCCTCTCCAAGTGATAATGGCTTTAACTGCATCGTTTTGATTTTGACTGAATTGCCTTCTCCATTTGGTAACACTTGAAAAATCCATATCTACTGTTGTGAGATTCTGAACCACCTCTTTACAGACAGTATCTCTTCAAGTCTTAAAAGTATGACAAATGAAAAATTCCAGAAAACATTTTATAAAAAACATTAAGTGCTGTGTTCAATATGCAGCCAAGAGCTTCCCTCTAAAAACACAAGAGCTTATACACCAAAAAGTATTTTTAAAGATTGCAATGCCAAGTCAAAACACTCTGACATCTGGAGAAACACAGTTCTGTACATGATGGGAAGAGTCTACTCTAAAACATAAAAATCACTGTTATGGGACCTTTAATCAAAACATGGATTTTTTTTATTTTTTTTTTAAACCCTTTAGTGAAACCTGCTTCCATGCATTCCACAATTAAGGAGAATAATGCTAGCTTATTAGTTTCACAGCCAGACTAGTGAAGGGTAGAAGCCTTCACAAGACGTGTTTGCCCTTGAACCGTCAGAATAAGATATGCCATGGTTTAAGCACTGACTGCACGAAACAGCAGACTTCTGTATTTTTCATCATTAAGATAACTTGTTTCTAGTAAATGTATAGACTCCTGCTTAGAAAAAAAAAATAAGTGTGCATTTTAAGTTCACAGAAGAATATAAGGGGCAAATTTTTTATTCCTATATATGAGAGACAGAAAAGCTAGAATATGGAAATAAAACAGAGAAAAAGAATAGCTGCCAAGAACAGAGTATGCTGCAACCAGGAGAGGAGTGCAGGACGGACACTCCTACAGATAAATTAATCTCAAACACCCAGTATTACTAGATGGATTTGCAAATATTTCTATTTTCACCAGATATACGCAAAACAAGGTGCTGATCATCCATCAGAGGGTGCACTTTTAAAGCCTACTTTGAAGCAGTAACAAAGTGTTTCTTTGTTCCCACATGTATGTTTTGTAAGAATTTTCTTCACTGAGATATGCAGGGCCAGGTTTGGAGTTTTTTTTCCAACTAGTCAAGAATAAGAACTGTACCTTATTAATTGGTTTGTTAAAGGGTAGTA